AACAAACACTTCCTGGGCTGGGCTGGTCCATGGACCCCACAGGGAGTCACACTGAGCTAGATAATGAAAGTTTTATTTTATCATGAAGGCAATGTGGAGTCACTGAAGTATATTTTTTTTCTGATTTCCTCTTTTTTAAATCATAGTTTTACTAGATAATTTACAATCCTAAAAAAAAGGGTACTATTATTCTCCCCATCTTGTGGATTAGGAAAATGTGGCTCATTAAGGTTAAAAAAACTTTCTCACAATGATACACTGAGGAAAAAATATGGCAACTAATATCACAGGCAAGGATTAATTTCCCGAAAACAATAAAAGCTCCTGGGAATAAAAAGTTCAATAGAAAAAAATGGGCAAAGAATATGAATAGACTGTTCACAAAACAGTAAATACTAATAGCCTTTACTTGTATGAAAACATGCTTAACTGTACTAAGATACACAAACTGAAATTCTACTGAGAAAACATTGCCTAGCAGACTAGCAAAAATCCAAAAATTTGAACAAATCACTCTATTGGTGGATTTGGGAAGAAAAAAAAAAGCACCCTTACAACATTACTAGTAGGAGTATAAATTGGTACAGCATCTGTGGAAGGCAGATACCCTTTGGGGCACTCATCAAAGCTGCTCACAAATATCCTTCTCTTTCTCTTTCAAAGTATACTCTACTGTTCACTTGAGGTTAAATATGGTTATATGATTTGCTTCAGCCAAGGAAATATGAGCAGAAGTGACATATCATATCTTCTGGGTGGAAGTTTTAAGAACCAGAGTGCAATTTGCTATGTTCTCTTTCATATATCTTTTCTTTCCCTCTACCACTCATACTGACAATGTCTTCGATGCAGGCTGTTCCCCCAGTCTGGACTGCAGAGAGAAGACAACTTAAAGCAGAACTCCTGGACATGCAGGATGACAAGCAGCATAAGCAAAATAAACCTTTACTGTTTTAAGCTACTGACAAATGGAGGGCAATGTGGCAATTTTTATCGAATTTATAAATACATATCCCCTCAAATATACTTGCAAAATGACGTATGTAAAATGTGCTCATTTACAACATGGTTTGTTATAGCAAATGACTGGAAACAACCAAATGAACCAAATTAACATCAACAGAATACTAGTTACAATACTTGCAGGACCTTCATACAGCAAAATATCTGTAGCTATGGAGAAAAAATTATCTTAGAGCTAATATGGAAGGATCTCCAAATGAAAAAACAAGATGTTCTCAGTATGTGTACCAATTTTGTTTAAAAAAAAAAAAAAAGTGGGGGTTACAATATATATTCATATTTTCTTGCACTTGCACAAAGCAACTCTAGAGCAATAAGAAACTAACAATTATTACATTGGACAGAGCATTAAAGGGTGACTAGGTGGAACTTCCAATTACTCAGGAAAAAAAATTTGGGGTGCTGTACTTAACTTCCTAATGTCACAACCTCAATAAGTCAAGCAAATCTCATGTTAAGCATAAATAGTGTACTTCTACCTCTATCTGACACCCTTCATTAAACTCTGGCTTATCTTTATCCTCTTGGCCATATCTAATCAGCTTCTAGTTACATTACCTGTGTTAAGAATATATTTACTGTTGTTCTCTTATTCAATTAAGTAGCAATGGTTCTTGGTTACTCTTAAATAAACCATGCTTTTCCCTAAATGATTCCAAGCTTCGGCAACTGTTTTTAGCTATTCTTTTTGAGACTCCAAATTGCCTCTTAAAAAGAAGAAAATCATAACAAACTGTGTCTGCTCCAATATATTCTTGTTTTTCTCATTCAGAACTTTTAAGTGAATGTTATTTGTTTTACTTTCCTTTATAATAAGAATTATGAGACCCTTACTTATGGGGAAAATTAGAAATAAAAAGTTCGTATTATAACACTGACTCCATAAATGTTCACTTTAAATGTTTATCTCATGTCAATCTAGATCAACAGACTCCAAATCTAAAACCTACATACATGTATAACTGTATTAGTACATTCATTACATTATAAAAATGTAAAAAGCATAAAAGAAACAATTTAAGATTTATTAATGATAAAAAATATTTTTTGCTGTCACTAGAAGTACCAGCAGTAATAACATTTTTAGTGAAAGCAATGTGATGCAATATGCGTCATTATTTTTTAAATCTTGGTTTAACATTTTGTTATAGAATTATTTGAAGGACTGGTTCCACTTTCAATTACTTCAATACTTGGTTTTCAAAGCTGTCAAAAAGATACAGATACAGGGGCGCTTGGGTGGCTCAGTCGTTAAGCGTCTGCCTTCAGCTCAGGTCATGGTCCCAGGGTCCTGGGATCGAGCCCCACATCGGGCTCCCTGCTCAGTGGGGAGCCTGCTTCTCCCTCTCCCACTCCCCCTGCTTGTGTTCCCTCTCTCGCTGTGTGTCTCTCTGTCAAATAAATAAAATCTTTAAAAAAAAAAAAAAAAGATACAGATACATCAGTCAAATGAAAGATGTGCAATTGGTTCCTACATAGCAATTATTCAAAGATTTTGTTGAAATTTGGCTAATTAAATTCTCATTTTCTCTGATATCTTCCCAAATATTTTTAACAAATAAGTTCAAACCTCACTGAAAATTTTCATTAGAAATATTTTTAAATATGTTAATAGTTTCTTTTTTTTAAGATTTTATTTATTTATTTGACAGAGAGATAGCGAGAGCAGGAACACAAGCAGGGGGAGTGTGAGAGGGAGAAGCAGGCTCCCCACTGAGCAGGGACCCCGATGCAGGGCTTGATCCCAGGACCCAGGGATCATGACCTGAGCCGAAGGCAGACGCTTAACGACTGAGACACCCAGGGGCTCCATAAACATGTTAACAGTTTCTTTCCAAGATTTTAGAATATGCAGTTATGGGTTTTTATAGGTAACAGTCATTGTTTCTGATAAAAAAAAAAAGAACACACACACACACAAAAGAAAGCATTTTCAAACATCTGTATTCAAAGCAGCTACCTTTTCAATCATTATTAAAACATTATCTTCTCTCTGAAGGGTCAAATTAGCAGTGCTTGTAAGAAGCTAGAACAGGGCGCCTGGGTGGCTCAGTCGTTAAGCGTCTGCCGTCTGCCTTCGGCTCAGGTTCAGGTCATGATCCCAAGGGTCCTGGGATCGAGCTGTGCATTGGGCTCCCTGCTCCTCGGGAAGCCTGCTTCTCCCTCCCTCACTCCCCCTGCTTGTGTTCCCTCTCTCGTGCTGTCTCTCTCTGTCAAATAAATAAATAAAATCTTAAAAAAAAAAAGCTAGAACAATATGAGCAACAAAATAAATGATAATGATTATAACTGTAAAATGCAATACATTATATAATAAATTAGGTATCCATGAGTCCATAGTGATATAAATAAATTGATGGGAGAAAAGGGAAATCTCTTCCTTACAGGAGAATGCCAACTAATGAATGTAGAAAGTATACTGGAAATAGAAAGTTACCATTTGGCAGCCACCACTACTGATGGTAGATTCAGAGAGAAGTCATCAATGGATGCTTAGCTCATAGGTAGAGATGCAATGAGGAATAAGATATTGGCATAGTCTCAGAGTACACAAAACACGTACCAGTTACATCAATTACAAAAGGAAAAAAAGGTGTCTTGATAGGTTGGAAACCTGGCCAATAAAAACTTAAGTAGGTGATTGAGATTAATATTAAGAAGGGTAGCACATGGGGCGCCTGGGTGGCTCAGTCGTTAAGCGTCTGCCTTCAGCTCAGGTCATGGTCCCAGGGTCCTGGGATCGAGCCCCACATCGGGCTCCCTGCTCAGTGGGGAGCCTGCTTCTCCCTCTCCCACTCCCCCTGCTTGTGTTCCCTCTCGCTGTGTCTCTCTCTCTGTCAAATAAATAAATAAAATCTTAAAAAAAAAAAAAAAAAAAGAAGGGTAGCACATGTTGACACATGTACTTTCTGATACAATTCATTAAAAAGAGCCCAACATCATTTTTATGTAATTCTTGCCAAGAAAGTATGGCCTGAGTCTGAGCATGAGGAAACACTGGATGGACCCCAAATGAAGAACATGCTACAAAATAAAAGGCCTGTACCATCTGTCCAAGATAAAACCGAAGAACTGTTCCTGATTAAAGGAGACTAAAGAGGTATGACAACTAAATGCGACATGTCAGCCTGGATTGTATCCTGGACCAGGAAAGAAAAGAGACATTGTTGGGACAGCTGGCAAAATTTGTATGGTGTTTTGATGATGGTGTTGCCATTGTTGATTTCCTCCTGTGGATAGTTACACTGTAGTTATATAGGAGAGTAGCCTTGGTTTTTTGGGAAATACAAATAGGACTATTTAGGAGTAACACATCATCTCTTCAACTTTTTCTTAAATGGTTCAGAAAAAGATTAATCATAATAGATGGAGGGTGATGAAGCAACTGTGGTAATGTCAACTATTGGGGCATCTTGGCAAGAAAGATTTAAGAGTTCTTTATACTGCTATTTTGGCAACTTTTCCCTAAGTCTGAAAGTATTTCAAAATAAATTATTTTTCAAGTGTCTTTACACATGTGAGCATGCTTGCATTTTTAGTATCTGCCAGGTATTATACTACTGACAGCCCCTTGTCATCATTTAAAAACATCCTCCATCACAAAGGCCCTCTGTAATAGGCCAGCCCAGTGGCCTTGAACTGGGTAGCCAAGGGAGACAACTGACTCTAAAAGGCCTTGTAATGGTTCCCTGTCCTAAGCTTAAAATAAAATGGCCTCAAAGTGACAATGGTACTGAAAATAACATATAACTTAACCTTCAGGCTCTCAACCCACTAGGTCTATTTGATTTCCATTAATCAGCATAGAAGGAAGCCAACAACCACCTCCCATCCCTTAAGGCTCTAACTTACTTGTCATGCATTCCCAGAAGCACACTATAAGATGACTAATCACTGACTGCTTCTTCAGCACCATATGTCTCCAAATTTCAAAGGAAAAATTGTCCCAACTAGTACTAGAAAAACAGATTTCCTACCTCCTGCAGCCGGAGTCGGACCTTGGTAACTGCTCGGATCCAGTGTGCTCTGGCTTGGGTAAATGGCGAAGAAGCATTTTCCTCAGGAAAACTTGAAACAAAGAAAAGAATGTTTCTTTAAAAATAGCCCAGGTCATGGTCCCGGGGTCCTGGGATCGAGGCCCACGTCCACCTCCCTGCTCGGCAGGAAGCCTGCTTCTCCCTCTCCCACTCCCCCTGCTTGTGTTCCCTCTCTCTCTCGCTGTGTCTCTGTCAAATAAATAAATAAAATCTTTAAAAAAAAAAAAAAAATAGCCCAGGCCATAGGGTGACTGCTCAAGGCAAAACTGCCAAATCTTAAGTAAAATGGTCTGTATTCATGCCTAGACTTGTTTCATGAGTCAGGCCACTAAACAGCATAATCCTAAATAAACAATGTGGGGAAAAAATGCTCTCTAAAATGACAGCTCCTTTTACCTTTTTATCCATTCCCACTCTTCTTTCCCCATTTTTCACTCACCCAATGAGCCAGCTCACTGGGACAGTCAGGTTTCAGGATTCTAGTAAAAGCAATGGCAAGGGCCCTGAGTCAATGTTAGCACAAAAACTACGCAGACATGTGGACTAATCCTTGCGCCTTACCTCTCAAGACCACCAGTCTCCCTTGGGTGTTCTACATGTCATCCATCCTTAGGGCAGAATTTTGTTCCTGCAAACCCTTCCTGCTCCACTAAGAATTTTGGAAGGCTTACCAATTCCTAGACTACAGCAAAAATGCTAAGGAAAAAAAGCCCAGCCCTTTTCCTACCATGGTCTTGTTCCTTGAGCTGCCTTAGGGACACCCTCAATGAAACAACAATAAATGTAACAAAGTAGTTTTGGGACAGAAACACTTTGCTGTATTAGAACAAATCATCCTCTAGATTCTTAACTGTGGAATAGTGGTCAATTCTTGGTGACAATGCTTCTCCTCTCTCCCACTGAGGTCTAGTGCCAAGGCAGCAAATAAGCATCCACCATCTAGATATCTGAAATATAGGTCAAGCTCTGACGCCATCCAACTGGATCAACTGTTTTAAAATACTGTGCGCACTGCTGACCAAGGTAGAACTGGACTTCACTTACACAGCTAGGATCTGAAAGGACATAGCCAGTAGAGAAGGACAAATACTCGTGCTGGGCCCTTCTGCTGCTCTACCAAGAACTCTACCCAGACAATAGCATCTGCCAAATCTAAGGTCTACAAAGAGCCATTTTTCACTGGGTCATCAACCACACCTCTTGGATGTCTTGTCTATTAGATGAACCACCACCAATAACTAAAGATCAGGAAAAAGTAAGGAGAAAAGAAAATAAGTTTATATCTTCAGTGGTGGAGTAAATACATCAACAATTCTTCAAACTTCTACCACTTATAACTGCACTCACTGCTCTGACCTTTTGGTGGAGGCTTTATTTTTAGACCTTGAAATTTGAGAATCCAAGTCACACCTAGCCCTTATCACTCTACCCCAGTGGTTTTCAACTGGGGGCAGTTTTGCCCTCCATGGGAAATCTGACAACAACTGGAGACATTTTTGGTTGTCACAACTGATGGTTGCTACAAGCATGTAGTACAGAGGCCAGGGATGCCACCATACATTCCACAATGCCCACAATAGCTCCTCGTAACAAAGAACTATCTGGTCCCAAATGTCAATAGTGCCAAGACTGAAAAATTGCACTCTGCCCCAACCTATGAGCAAATCTACTGACGAATTCAGCTCAGTATCAATAACACTCAAACACTGTACTAAGCTTCATTATAAGACTGTTAAAAAGACAAGTTTAAAGTTTTTCTTCTTATGGGTACCAATTAATTCCAGACACACTGCTAGACCCTGGGGAAGCAGAAGGGTGAGTTTGATCTGGCTTTTAGACCAATTCTTTCTTCACTCTGTTCTGGTTTTCTCCACCAGGAAAAAACAAAACAAAACAATGCTCACATAAGAATTTTAAACATTAGGGGCGCCTTGGTAGCTCAGTTGGTTAAGCGACTGCCTTTGGCTCAGGTCATGATCCCGGAGTCCTGGGATCAAGTCTCACATTGGGCTCCTGGCTCAGCAGGGAGCCTGCTTCTCCCTCTGACCCTCTCCCCTCTCATGCTGTTTCTTTCTTGCTCACTCTCTAATAAATAAATAAAAATAAAATCTTAAAAAAATTTTTTTTAAACATTAATAGGCTGGGAAGCCTATTTCATCCAAAGCAGCTCCTTTTAATGAAGTTGTAGGGCTTAGATCAGTTCCAGACTCAGAGGCTACCAAAAATAGGTCAATTAGTAGGCCAATAACTACAGATTCAAGGCGGCCTGATACACTGCAGCTAACTACAAAGAACCCAAGTGTTCTTCAGAGATCCTCAAAATATTTAGGGAATTATACCAAAAATCAAAGGAAGCAGTGCAGAGCTAAACCTCAGTATCCTGGATCACTACCATACCCACCTGTAGGGAAACAAATGAAAAGCACTTACACCCAGAAATACCACAGGCAGGTACTGAGGAAACCACGTGAACTCCTCAAGGCAGCCATCACCTACCTCTCCTGGGGGCCTAGGATGTGGTCTTTGTGTAGCACCAGATCTGGGGGAGGATGGATTGTGGCATCTTCTTTCCTCTCCTTGGGTTCACAGGCTCTCCCCTTCTCTTCTTCACCTGTCACCTCCAAGGCTTTCTCTTGTTCTCCAAAACCCACATGGCCATCTCTAGAGAAGCTATCAGAGCTGTGGCACGAATTAATGGAGTCCCTCTCCCGACGGTCATCATCTTGTTCGTGACACTGGTCTAGTTCACTCAACTGAGAGCTTCCTTGACTCACATTACAGGAGGAGCCATACCTACTACTGCTGGTGGGGCTGTGAGAATGAGAGGAAGACAGATGAGTACGTACATGCAAACTAGGGACGAGGACAAAAGTAATGGATAAATCCAGAAATAATGATTCTTTCAGTGGCAAGAATCACAAATAGGAGGTTCCTGGGAAGACAGGACCAAACTTCACAATCTAGAAGAACTAGTTTCTAGTCAGCAGAAGCACAAAGGAAAAACAATACAACATGCTGGATTCTCTAATAGCACTTAACCTCAACCTGTGAAAGACTTTGAAGCATATTTGTCTGAAAGTGATTTTTGTAAGCAGGGGCTTAACCTTAATTATTGAGAATTACTAAATATAAAAGTAGCCTCTTGTCTACACCTAATATTCTTTACCCGGATTCTAAAGAAACTTGTCCAGTGGCTGTGATTAAAGTTTTCTAATTTCCATAAAGTAAAATGGATGAACTCTACTCCCTTTTTTTATTATTTACTAAATTGATGCCCCTTTTCTTCCTCTATAATTGTAAATGTGAATGTCTGTTCCTTAGGATGAGCAAAGGAGATTGGTAATGTTCCTTCAATTATCTTGCAGCTATCTACATAATGAGGTAATGGAAACCATTAGGAGAGGAAATCTATTACCAAAAAAATTCCTCTGGGGAATGGTCTCATCAACATGAATGTTACAACGATATCCCTGGCAGCACAGGGAATGTCCCAAAGATAAACTTGCCCACCTGTAACTGAGTTGCTCTCAGGACATGGCTCGTTTGGGATAAAGTGGACAAAATCCCAACTCCTGGCTCTGGGTCAGGACCATAATAATGCATTTCTATACTTGAAGAGAGGCCAGCCCAACCCTTTCTCAATCACCTGAATTCCCATACCCAGAAAGGAAATTTGTTCCCCTGCTATGAGAGATAGCACCTATAGCAGAGAAAGTGGGAGTGAATCATGATTAGAAAGAAGAGCAGTATCCACAAGTTACTCCCTTGAGCAGTATACTGAATTTAAGGCTGTCAGTCCTACTCAAGATAGAGGTTCTAGGCGTTGGTCTGTAAGATCTATCCCAGCTCATAGGGATAGTTCTATCCCAAGTCAGGGGCCCCCCTTTCACTTCCGGTATTCTGCTTTCTAGAAAGCCTCCATGCAAAAGGACAAAGATCCTTGCCACAGAGTCAAGCCTTTAACTAAAGGGTTTATGTTCACCCTTGACTAAATGAAGATAAATCATTATTGTTTCCCAGGGATATTTTCTCTATGGTGCCTCCCAATTACCTGGTATTTTCAGGCTAATTTCTGATCCTTTGTCCCATGGCAGCAGGACAGGTACCAGGTCACTGTTATGAACAGTTCCTAACACATGTGTATACACACATACACACACACACACGATCTCTAAAACCAGCCACTTTGGACAGGTTTGGGCAAGAGGTCCTGGCAGCATTCTTAAGCTGTACTGTATTTGGTGCTTCTTCTTAGGGGAAATAACAGGATCTTTTCCATATGGACCCAGCACAATGCTCCAGAATAAAGAACTACAGCAAATGATAGCCTTAAGCTCCTGTGACACTTTACTCAAAGCATTTACCAGACACCAGTCTTAAGGGTACGAAAAGGCAAAGACTGAAAGAAGCTATGCAAATCCATGTGGAATAGGATATAGAATATAAATTATCCCAACCTTTGCATCTTGCATTTTACTTAATAACCTCATTGCCACTGGAGAAAGCATCTTAGAAGACTTGGAAAGGCAAAGCACAGTAGATCTCTCCCAGCTAGTATAGATGTAAGTGCTGAAGGCCCAAGGAAGCATCCTAGCCTATCATTAATATATGCCACACTACTACTTGCTGCCTCTTCCTGCCCTCCATTCTCCATTCCACTTTACACAAGGCAGAGCAAACCAGAGGGAGTAAATCCCAGGGCCCAGCCTTTCCGTTAGCAGTAAATTCCTTCTCCCAATAAATGAATTACATTTGGCACTAGAGAGATGAGAGAGGATGAAAAGACCCACACATTATTTCTTGTTACTTAACCTCTAGTTAACATGAAGCTCAGATGCTAGGAAAGACATAGGAAAAATAAAAAGCAGGCTACCATTAGACTACCACTAAGTCACTGCATCATAAATGGTCAATTTCTTAAAATCATTTATGATGCTTAGGTTGAGAACAGGCCTTTTGTCGGTCTTTGGTTCCTTGATGCCATGGAGAGTAACTGGCTGCTGTACGTTTGAAAGAGAGTCAGTACTAGCAGGCATCACCTCCTCCTTTTGAGTTTCTGGCTGGTGAAGTAGCTCAGTAACAGTGCAGTGTTCTTCCTTATGACTCCCTGAAGGATAGGTGGAGCTAGAAAGGTTGTCTTTGGAACCCCAGTGTTCTCCTGATGCTGAGACTTCCTGCTGGTTTTCCATTTCTCCAGGCCCTGAAAACTCATGAGCACATATACTTGGCCTGGTCTCCTGCTGCTCAGAGGTCCCAGAGGGTTGAGTAGCTGGCTCAGCATTAGCCTCAGACATTTGAGAAGACTCTAAAGCTTTGTCAACCTCCCTAGCGTTAAGGTCCTGATCACTGCTGATAACCAAAGCTGGAGAAGAGGATTCTGCAGGCGTTTGTTCAGGGCCCCCTTTGTTCTCTTTTGGCCATGTGAATGAAAGATCCAACTTCTTTCCAAACCTTAGTTTTAGATCATTTGCAATTATATTCCCTTTCCCCTCATTACCTCCCTCAAATAGAGTTGACAACTTTTTAAAACTGGCCATTAAACCAGGCTCTGCTGCTCTATCGCCAGAGGAAGGAGATGGGGAAAAGAAAGAGCTCAGTGGTTTCCCACAGTCAGTGGCAGAGGATGGGAAATGGAATTTTGGCCAATTGGTCATGTTTGGGATCTCAAAATGAGGTCTTGGCTGCTCTGTTTCCTGGAGGACTGCAGGTAGATCTTTCTGGGTATCGAGTATCCCATAACTTTCTTTGGCAGAAAGAGCAGGTTCCTCTAGCATAGGGTGGGAAAGGTATCCTTGGGTTTCTGGTGTGGCACTCTGGCCAACACTTGCCTCACTGAACAGTGCAGTACTGGTTTCCAGTGAACTGGCTGCCTGTAGTTCCAAGAAGTCTTGGTTTGTGGAGGCAGACTGCATAGCTGGCTTTGCCTTAAGAGGAATAGGTGGCGGAACCGGAGGAGGAAGCTCTTTGGCAATACAGGTAGGATCTGAATCCAAATGTGATGGCAATGGGATATGCTCTGCTTCCAATGATGCCTCTGTGTCTGTGCCCTGCAACAACCCCATGTCTCCTTCATCACTCAGAGACAATACTCCTTGCCCAGCATCGTCCCCTGAAACAGAAGGTGCAGCCCCAATTATTTCAGAATCTTGGGGTTCTAGAATATTGTCAGGGATATTATTGTTTTCCATTTCAGTTGTTGGTTTAGTATCATCTGTCAGGGTCTCTGAGTCTGACTTTGCACTAACTACAGTCATTGTACAGTCACTGAGAGTAGATTCTGAATTGAGTGCTGAAGAGGAAGCTTCTCTCCACAGATTTTCTGGAGGTACTGATCCTACAGTATCTCCGCAACTACCATTTTGAGGCCATACAGTAGGTGGGATAGGTGATTCTTGTTTGTATGTGTCTGGTTTGGGACTTTTAAAAATTCCAAATAACTCACCTTTGAGGGACTGAGATGATGCACCAGAAGAAAGAGAGAAAAAGGAGTTTTTCTTTGGTGGCTTAGGAGAGGAGAAAAGTCCAGAGAAAGTTTTGGGAGGTTCAATTAAGCACCCAGAGAAAGATTTCACTTTTGTCACAAACCCTGAAAGCACTTCTACTGAGGAGCCCAACATTGATTTGTCTTCCTCTTTATCTGCCTCTCTACTCTGGAGGTGCCTTGTACACCCTGGCTCCACAGAGGAAGAGGCTGGCTCCGGGATCTGTGTTAAGACCTCATCAGGGGCCTTTTCCAATGGCAAGTTTAAGAGGTCACCAGTAAATCTTTCATTTTGGTGGTGGTTAGTACAAGTGTCTGAATTGTTGAGCTTTTCAGTCAAACGGTTATCATGTGGAAAAGACTTGGCCAATGAGCCACTAGGGAAGGCTTCCTGTATGAAAGGTTCTTCTTCACAAGGAGCTACCCCAAGGGTCTCTGGACCAATGAGCAGTGTTTCAGTCTGTGCCTGAAATTCTGGTGAATGAGGAACAATGTCATTTTGCAACTGATTCATCTGGAAATCTGCTAAAGATGTCCCTAGTCCGTTCCTAGAATCTAGTTTTCCCTGATAGTCCTTCTCTACATTGAGCACATCTGTAAGGGAAGTAACCCCGATGGTGTTGCTAATGGAAACACAAGGAGCCATTTGCTGTTCATGAACCACCTCCTGGACTATACTATCTCTATTGCCACTGGAACCTTCTCCAGTTCTTGTGCCACCCATGTCTACAAAAACACTTGGCTTCTTACAGGGCTGGGAAGTCACTGGAGCAACAGTTGAAAGGCTGTGTTTTTCCCCAGAAGTCTGCTGCTTTCCATCCGAAAATGATAAGTTGAAGAAACTAAAAGAGCTATTACGAGAGGCATCCTTCTTGCTGCTTGAGTTAGTAGTGGAAAAAAAGGAAGGAAGTGTAAACAGCCCTTCTGCTTGAGATTTGGTTCTCAGTAGAGGAGCAGAGGCTCTGTTCTCAGATTTTTCAGATCCAGTCAGGAAAGAAAATACACTCTTTCTGGTGGGCAACTCTGGTTGAGAGGGAGAGGTTGTGGGAGTTGAATAACTCCACTGTTGGTTGGAAAAATGATCTTGTTCCTTTGAATTTCTTGGGCTGAGAATATCAAAAGATAATTCATTACTTCTTGAAACTTCTATCACTGTAGACACACCACTAGTTTTTATTGAAGAATCTCTGGAAGACTCTTCAAGACAATTTGCTGAGAAAGACTGACTTGGTGATTGCTGGATTAGGTAGTCTCTGGAATGTACCTCTTCCTCAGTCAAATTATTACTCTGTATATCCCTAGTCGATGGTTCTTTTAGCCCACTGTCATCAATAGTAATCTGCTTGTTCAGACTCCTAACTCGAACCTTCCTTTTAGAGGCAACTGGTGTAGCAGAAAAGTTCCCAACATCCTGGATAATTAGCTGTGCAGGATTAGGACTTGATTTGACTTCATCCTTATTAACCGATGAAGAAACAGACATATTTTCAGTTGTCTGTATAGAAGATGCATTGGTTTTAAATAAATCCCCAAGGGTACCAAAAAAATTAGAAACACCAGGAGATTCATTCTTTTGCTGAGAAGGTATCTTTCTATTTTTATCACCATTCTTTTCTAAATTTGGTGGTCCTTCTTTATTCACCTGGGTTTTAAAGAGGTTCAAAAATCCAGATGCCTGTTTTCCATTTGATACTGTACTTACTAAAGAGTCTTCTCCCCGACCAAAGAGTTTCAATGCACTTTTAAATAATGTTCTCTCAGACTCTTTGGAAAACTGGTCCTGAGGAATCTCACAGTTCTTGGGTTCATCCCTACTAAACTGTGATGCAAGAGGAACTGAAATAGAGTCAACTGTAATTATTTCATTATCTTCTATATCTGATTTAGCCTGAGGAGTTGTTTGGCTTACCTGGATAACAGATTTTAACAAACTTTGTTTTTTTACCTGAAAACTTTTATTTAAAGGGAATTCTTGCTTCATACTTTTAATAAATTCTGGTTGCTGCACATTGGATACTATTTGTTTTTCTAAATCCTTCTTGAGAAGACTTTCTTCTTTATCTTGGGAATTACTCTCTAATTGTTTATTCAAGATTAATGACTGAAGACCATTATTTGTGAGCTCTGCCAAGTCTGACTGCTGATCCATTTTCTTCATGACCAAAGACTCTAAGGATTCATTCTCAACAAAATACAAAGTATTTCCAACTAAAGCAGAAAATAATGAAGTCACTTTGTTCAATGATGACATTTCTCCTGTTTGCTGTGGACTATTAGTCATATTTTCAGGATGAACCAAAGAGGTAGCCTCTTCAGAAGACTGAACCCAATGTAAACGAGAAGGGTAAACTAATGAATCCTTTGCTGGAGACTGGTTCTTATCTCCTTCTATAAAATGACTTTTATTTAAGTCGTGATTTCCAATAGTTTGGGGCTGATTCCTGAGATCCAATATATATTCAAAGTCTTCAGAACCACATACCCTTTCTTCAAAAGATCCAAAATTTCCTTTAAACTTCTTAAGATTATAGCCTGAAAAATCTAATGGTTGATCCTTTTGGCCACAACCTGACTCTTCAAATACTTGTGAAAAGGTTCCTAAATTTAGATACACTGGTCCCTCACTTCTTGGCAAAACTACAGATAAATCAAGAGGGTCATCAATTGGTTCCTCTTCAACACACCAGAATAATTCATCTTCCTTAAAACCATAGGCAGAAATAATGCTGTCATCCAACATAATACTTGATAGATCATTTGTCTGTAAACCACAATTCAAATACTCTTGATAAGAACAATCAGGTATAAATAAATATGCATACTGCCCAGTAGAATCAGTGAGGAGATAATACATATACTGACCATCATGGAACATAAAATATCCATAATCTCCATCTTCTGATGGCCACCACACTCCACTTTCAAGACATGCCAACCATTCTTGGTATTCATAACCAACACTTGAAAAAACAAAGTTTTCATCCATTCTTAATAATTCTTGATCAACTATGGAACATGTAGTCTTCTCATAACCTGAAGAACAACTTAAGTCAATGGGTAATTCTTCTAGTGAATTCTTCGTCTCATTAATTGGAAAACAAGAATTTCCATATAATGAGTGAGCTGCCCACATATCACTTAATAAGTTATCTTCATTAAATGCTAACTGCTCCAATGATTCATATGGTAAGTCACGCCAAATGACACTGTTTGGATTTGTTTTCCACTCCAAGACATTTGCATTTTGATCCTTTTGGCAAAAATTTATTGCCGAATTTTCTGAGTCAGGCCACAAGAAAACATCACCTGATAGGAATGTATTTTGATTTAACATATAATAAACTGGCTGAAGTTTTCTGGAATTTTTGGAGAAATCTTTTATATCAGAGTCCCACTCATAACAGAAAGTATTATTCATCTCTTCAAAAGCCTGATAGTGGTTTGATATATTAAGAATGTTAGTATTTAATATAGATGGATTTAACTTGTTTGAATTTTCATGTATTTTCGCCTTAAGAACATGGTGTGGTGTCAGCCTCTCAGCCAGAGATTCCTCTAAGAGGCCCCGCTGAGTGCTTGGAGCACAGTGAAATACCCTGTTCTCAGAAGAGGGGCAATTGTTTTCCTTTTGCTGTTTCTTCCATGTGGGAGGGCAATGATGACTATCAACCCAAGCATCACATAATGGTATATTTTCTTTAGGTAAAGATACAAAGCTTTTTATAAAGCCAGATGTTTCTTCTTTTTCAACATGGTTCTTCTGGTTTCCAGAAGTCACACATGAAGTAACAGGGATCTCATCCAAAGATAAATGTTTATTTCCATTCAAACTTTTTATGTTGCCTAAAGACATGGACCTTGCTTCATCTGGTTTATGAACAGTCACACTGTTATTGGATATCAGGTTAAATATTCCAGAGAGTAAGCCTGGGGTATTATTCTTATGATGAGAATCATCACTCTTCAAATTTAATTCTTGTTGACTAGACAAATTTTCAAGAGAAGAAAACCTGTTAAACAGACCAGAAAGGAGGCCTCCTTGGGTTCTTGTCTTGGAAGCTTTATCTACAAGTCTATCTTCATTAATTTCATTAACCAAGGTGGATTCTGAAATGGTAGTAGATGCTAATGAACAGTCTGATACTGTTAAAGATGTCATTTGTGTAAGAGTTTTACTTTCTTCTGAAGAATCTGAAGGAATATATTCTTTGGACACAATTCCAAGGAAGGCTGAGGTATCTCTGTGACAGTTATCTACTGCTGCGTGGTCACTTGAATTTAATTTCTCTATGTTCCCAAATTCCCCAAGATCATTACTAATAATTGGAACTGAATTAGTCTTTATTTTATTAAGTGTGTCATCTTCAGGAAAATTTATCTGGTCGTTTTTATTAAATGTTTCTGTATCATCAAATTTCCCTAAATTATTATGAATATTTGGAACTGAACTAGATTTTATTAAACCAAGTTTGGCATTTTCATGGCAGTTTCTTTGGATCTCTTCATCAATGGTTACTGCTGAATCAGGAAATCTCTGGTCAGTGACAGTGTTATGGCTGTCAGTGAAAGGAAATTTAAATGAAGGAAAAATGCTTCCTTTCTCTCCTAAATCCTGCTTTTCAGAATGACTAAGAACTCTGAAAAATGGAATATGTAATTTTCCACTAAAGGAAAAGGAATGTCCATCTTTCTTAGGGTCCCTCTCCCACCCATCCTCCTCCGACTGGTGAATTTTCATAGATTCTGACAAAGTTTCCTTTGAACAGGTCTCAGGTGAATTGAGCAAAAACTGGCTAAATGATTTTCTGAGTGGCTCAAGAAAATCATCATCACTAGTAACTTTGTCCCCCTCTAATGGCTTTGAAGAAGACTCTTTATTTGCAGTTGTACTTCCAGTTATACAAGGTTGTCCTCGAGTGTCTTTAGCACATATTTTTGGTTGATCTGGTAATAGAGACAGATCTATACAGGGTTTTATTTCCAAGAGACTCTCAATATCAACATTTTTATTTGCAGAACCGCCTAAGTTTGAAGGTTCATTGGCCGCTGGGGAAGACAACAACAAATCCTCACTTGTGGGCATTTGGGTTGAGCTTGTATTTTCTCCATCATTCCTACCGAGAGTGATAATACTACTGTTATTGCCAAGAGTGTCTTCCCTTTGATTTGACTCTGATCCACACTCAAAAAAGTTTTCCTTTCTCATTGGCTTGTTCTGGCCATCATCTTTTTTGGTTTCATCCTTTTCCGAAAAGATCTTTAATGGATTTAGCATGCTAAAAACAGACTTTATAACTGAACTCTGACTCTGTGGGGCGGAGTCCCTTCCAACAGTCTCTGTTACATCCTGAAAGCTTATATTTCCAGTTTTACTACCTGTGTGCTCATTTTCAGAGGTTTTGTCATTTCTGCCAAAATCCTTATTATCAACTGCTTGAGAGGATAATGGAGATTGCATGGAAAGATCCTTCCCCAATACTGACTCGGCTCTGGGTTTAGATCCTGAATTAACTGTCTCTATTTGATTAAGAGTTTCTGTTTTCTCTGGAACTAAAGAAACCAGCTTTTCCACAGAGCTTGTTAGATGCTTTGTGCCCGAACCCACTTTTTCTGTGAGTGAACTGAACAAAAAACCAACAGCACATTTCACTCCATTCAGCTCAGGGAAAGAGATGGCCTTATCCTTGTCATTCTTGACAATGTTTGAAGGTGGCATTTGATCCCCAGGCATTTTCTGTTCCTCATTATCAACAGTACTGTTGTGTTTAAGTGACTTTTTAGTTTTTGAAAGGGAACCAAATCTATTAATCTCTTCTTCCTTCTCTGCTAAATATTCTGATACTGTTTCTACCAAACACTGAAGCTCATCCATTGTATCAACACAGTCCTTCTTGGGTTCCTCAAGAGAGGAAGGGGTCATCTCTTCCATGGGGCACCCAGACAGATCTCCAAGTGTTTTTGCATCACAATTCACCTTTGGTAATGAGAATACTGGACATGTTACATGATATTCTTCAGGTAAGCCTCCAATATGATGGACATTGGATGGAGGACTTGTTGGTGACAGTAAACCTTCCTGTATATCAGTAAGAGGAGAACTCAGAAGTTCATCAGAAGTACTGCTAGTAGAATCTTCAAGAATATCTAATGGAGTGAAATTAGTGACATGCTGGTTTAAGCCAGATGACTTTTCACAGTTCTTAAAACAATCAGAAAGATCATAATCATGATTTTGCAACTTAGTGGTCCACGTGCCACTCTTAACCACAAAAGCATTTTTATAAGGGCACAAAATTGGATAATTTTGTTTCTTTTTTTCAATGTGGCAAATGTTACACTTTTCAGTGTTAGGATATGTACTTTCCAAGTCAGTCTTAGTTCCTGATCTATCACCATACTGTCTTCTTTCATGGTCTCCAAAATGATGGTATAACAGCTTGTTTTTCCTTCTATCTATTGTATCATATTTCTGAGGATATCTGGAGAACACAGATGTTTCAAACTTATGGTCAAAATTAAAGGCAGCAGAATATTCAGTTTCTTGACCCTGAGGTGGTATCTTTTTCCAATTCTTGTACTTCAGTTGTTCTTGTTGGTTGCAATATTTATCAGTTTTTGAAAGAGCTCTAATTTCTTTTACTTCTGCTTCCTTTATGTTACTGCTTTCTAGAAACTCTTGTGTTATTTTCCCCTCTCTCTCCTCATATATACTTTCTTGCTCTTCATAGTCAACACCAGAGAAAGCTGAAATAATCCTAATTTTGTCATTTTTGGCCTGCAAACCTTGTCTGATGTAAAAGAATAAAATCAGAGAAATAGTAAGGCAAAGAAAAGAGAAGAAACAAATTATAAAATTTAGTGCATGTTCAACGAGAAAACTAAAATAAAATTGTCAATATGATAAAAACCATTCAGACTGAAAAAATATGATAAAGAAATCTCTATGTTCTTAAATCAATATTAAAGCAATTTAATCAAAGAGTTTTTCCACATCAGAAAAAGAACAGCTATAGTAATAACCGTAGCTACTTACTACCATGAGCTTTTTAGGATGCTTTTATTTTTCAAGAAAGGTAGAAACAAGCAAAATGAATATGTTTCCTCAATATTTAGAATGTGTTTGCAATGCCCAGGTTTAGAACTGTTAAGTATTCAACATATCAAGGGATTTCAAGAAACCCAAATTTGTTGATTAATTCGGGTCTGAAAAGTCAAGCTGTTAACTTGCTGAAAGTTATTATTTGAGGCAGTATAGCCAAGAGTATGGCCAAACATATTTCTTTAAAAAAAAAAAAAAGAAAAGAAAAAATAGGTGTACCTAGGTGGCTTAGTTGGTTAAGTATCCGACTCTTGATTTTGGCTCAGGTCGTGATCTCAGAGTGGTGAGATCGAGCCCCAAGTCGGACTCTGTGCTCAGCATGGAGTCTGCTTGAAATTCTCTCCCTTTCTCTGCTCCTCCCCCTGCTCCCGCTCCCATGAGCACACTCACACCCTCTCTCTCTCAAATAAATAAATATATACATAATAAAAATAATCTTTGACTGTCAGAAGTCAAACCTTGTTATAGCCCAATGGAACAATTATTTAAAGCATTATAATTTGTGAAATCTAAAAGCTATATATGCATTGAGGATCACAGTGAAAGGAGTATCTTGCCCTATACTGATTTTTTTTTTTAAAGATTTTATTTTTTTAAAGATTTTATTTATTTATTTGACAGAGAGA